TAGGTGGAAGAAAAATTTTCTTTATAATATTAATACATTCAATTTTTTACTAATACAGTCACAAAATATAATTTTAACAATTTTTATGGGGAAGGGACCCACAAAAGTCATAGTGACATCCTGGGCCCATGTCTGTCTAGTCTACTGTCCTGTGGACTGTCATACCCCTCCTCAGCACCCCTCAGAGCGCTTGGCTCATAGGAGGAGCTCAGGAAACATCTGACGAGTAAATGAGTCTGTGCTGTAGATCTCTGTTTTCAGAGAGTACAACCTCACACCCTCTGTCGTCGGCCCTGATTCGGCGGGGGCAAGGGAGGAACCTTGGCTGCAAGAAATGATACTGATGCGGCATCGTCTTCCAAGTCGGCCGGGAGATGACACGGTCCATCAGTGCCCTGGATCTGCAGAGAGCAGCCCACGGCCCGGGCCACCTTCTCGGAACCTTCCTTAGTCTGATTCCAGGCTGAGAAACCAGAAAACTGCTTCTCAGATAACACCTTCACGGTGACGTGTTACTGGCTAAAGAGAAGTGCCAGCTTTCTCAAACAAGTAGGTAGGTTAAGATGCAAGTATGTATGTCTTCCCCCATGAGACTCCATAAGTCTTTTTTCACTTTGAACAAAAAACATGTGACCCGAAAACTTTTTTGTCTTAAATTGGCCTTTATTAAAAAAAACACGCACAAAAAAGGGCTTCTCACCACTCCTGTAAGAGCAGTGGTTTTCAGTCTCTAATGGGACATTTCGCAATGTCTGGGGACCCTTTGGATTGATGTCACTGGTTGGGAGGATGCTGGCATCTAGTTGGTAGAGGTCAGGGATGCTGTTCACCATCTGACAACGCACAGGATGGTTCCTGACCATGAAGAGTGATCAGGCCCCAGATGTCGGTAGTGCTGAGGTCAGGAAATCCTGCTTTGGAAGAATCTAACTGTATCTCTTGAGTGAATGACTTGGATCACTTGGGTCTGGCCTCCACAGCCTTGGTTGTATCGATCTGCATCTCGGCATCAAGCCCTTGATCTATACTGAGCAGAAAAGCAGCCTGATGGGGTTCGCATGACTGTATCTGTTAGGAGACTGTTGTTGAGGATGGTGCCTGGGACCCCCACCCCTCCCTCTTCAAAGATCTCACAGGAATCCTTCTTAGACCTCAATGTCAGAAAAAGCTGAGCTGCTTCTGGGATTGTTTCAACCTGGTGGACGTCCTGAGTCTCATAACAGGTGGATTTCTGTCTTCGCTTTGACTGACGGGAAGCTCAGAGCCCAATTTGCAGCCCACCTTTGAGAATTGTGGAGGCCACCAGAGAATGCTTCTGCATACCACCCTCCTGGTTCATTGCACTGTTTGTTCCTGCCTTGTTTTCTCTCTGATCTAATTTTATCCTCTTGTGTTTTTGTAAACTGCCTCCAATCCTTTTTGGAGCAAAGCAGAGCATGAAAACAAAACAAGGTTCAGCAGAGCCTTGTGGCCTTGACAGGTATTTTTAACATGCCGAGTGTCATTTCAGGGCTGGAATCCTGCCGGGAAGACAGCTCTCCTTGGCTCCTCCCGTCCCCTCCTGGGAGCCTCCGTCTTGGAGAACAGCAGCTCAGTGGGTTAGAGCAACAGGTTTTGGAGGCAAAGCCACCAACAGCCATCTGCCTGCAAGTCCCTCCCCTCCCCCAAAACGTTCTCTCCAGCCTCCCATCTGGCTGTTGGCAGGAAGCCCCAGGGCCTGCAGGAGACTGCAAAGGGGAAGTTAGACAAGCTCTCCGCTTTTATTCCTAGCTTTCCTTTCCTGCATCTTAGCTCAGGGTCTTCTGCGTCCAGGGATACTTCGGGTACAGTTTATCACTGTGAGGGAGGGGCCGCGCCGGGAAGGGCCCCTGCCGAGTGTGGGGAGAGTCGGGGCACTTTGGGAGGCTGTTCTGTGAAGGCAGATGTGAGCTGGGAGGGGTGGGGAGAGCCACACACACCTGAGGAGGTCCCCCCTCCGACTGCCACACCCCCAGCTCTGAGCAGCTGCGCCCCACAGGCTCAGCCTGTCCCTCATCTCCATGTCACAGAGCCAAAGCCAGCCCAGGCCATTTCACAATCTCAGCTCTGCTCCACTCGTGGGACTTCAGCCAGCGCCTTCTTCTCCCCACCTCTGTCTTCCCATCTGTAAAATGGGGTGGGGCCGGGGGGGGGCACCAGATCCTCAAATTTGAAGATCCTAAGAATCCTCTCCTTCATGTGTCCTGACATCCTCTCTGCCTTTGTCCACTTTCTTCTGGGGACATGGTGCAACCCTGCTGAAGAGGAGGGGGTGGCTTGGGTGTGTGTGAGAATGGAGTCAGAGGTGAGCACCTCGTGGGATCAGCCTGGATGCCAGCAGGAACACGGGCCCGAGGCTGCAGGCTTGAGAGGCAAGGGGCCCAGCAGACAGAGGCCAGCCCCGAGTGACCCTGGGCAGGGCCCTTTGGTCCTGGTGGGCCTGCCTGCTGGGCCCTTTGGGTGCCATGAATCAGCAGCTGCTGTTGACAGGGGCCTGGAGTTGCCGGCGCCTCCCCAGCAACACCCCTTTTCCGTGGGCACCCAGCCCCACGTGAGCCAGGCTGACAGCTGGGCCTCCCTGCGCTGCTCCGCCCGGCCAGGTCACTGGCCCCACCTGCTCATTCCGGCTCCCAACATGTAAATCATCAGATTGGGATGGTGGGGTGAGGAAGGGCTTTGGAGCCGTGCCCAGGTCTGTGTCCAGCTCCTCTGTTCACAAGCCCGGGGGCTGGGCCGGTTCCTTCACCTTTAGCCGCCTCAGTGTCCTCATCTGTGAAGTGGGGGTGATATGAACAGCACAGCCTCACAGAGTTGTTATGGGAATTAAGTGAGGCCAATACAAAGAACAGTGCCTGGCATATGGCCGTCCCAACAGCTAACACACACAGCCCTGATCATACTAATAATACAGAACAGTATGTGCCCAATAAATACAAGCAAAACCCCTCACGGGGTGGGGGGAGGTGGAGGGGGGACGACCCAATGATGGCTGGACTGGGGTGAGGTTGGTGCTATGCATCTTTGGGCTGTAGCTGCAGCCCTGCCTGGGGGAGGCGGCTCTGGGGTCCCATCCTAGTTTGGGGAATAGTAGCTGCAATCTGAATTGAAATTACTCAATTATCACCCAGAAGTAGTTCCTGGCTTCTGCTTTGAGTTGTCAGAAGTAGAAGGGGCCTTACGGAACATCTTTAAGGTGAGACATGCTCTGCGGGGGCCCTGGGTTTCCCAGGCGAACCTCAGAGGCCGCAGGGGAGGGAGTAAGGACCCCCTAAACCTGCCCCCACACAGGAAGCTCTGGCTTGGCCTGTTCATGTCTGGGGGTTCAACATGCGATCTCACTGCAAACAGAACTTCTGGTAAAAAGGGGAAAACAACTATGCTGTGCCTAATTTCAAGATGGAGAAACTAAAGCTGCCCAGAGAGGGAAAATGAGTAGGCCAAGGCCACACAGCAAACCAAAATTAGAGCTGGCGTGGCTAGGCTGGCCCTGCCTGGTTATCCCATATGTGTCTGGTGGGCCCATTGGGCCCCCAACCAGAATGCGTGCTCCCAAATCTGTAAGTCCAGCCAGGTCTCTCTGCAGGCCCCTGGGTCTTCCTGAATGGCTGGTGCTTTTCCATCAAATCAAAAAGCAGGTCTGCACCCTCGGGGGGACTGGTTTCTCCCAGCCCCTCAAGAATCCCGGGTGCGTGCTTGTGATGGAGCAGGGGTGTTCACACTGTATCTGGGAGGCACAGTAGGAGCCCTCCCTGCACCCTCCTGGGCCTCGGTGAACACTGCCTTCCTCTCTTCAGTCGTCGGGAGCTGGACTGCAGCCTCTGGGTCCCCGTCCCCGCCCTGGGCTGCGGGTGTGTGCCCCAGTCCCACGGCCTCTCTCCCTTCCTCCCTCGGGGCCCCTACACCGCCTGCTCCTTCCTCCTCTTAGCCCTGTCCCTCATTATGGGCCCCTCTAGGGGCAGAGGGCCCTGGGTGACGGTTTAATTCTGCTTCTTATTGCTTCCCAGGGAGAGGATGGGCACAAGCCCAGATTTCTCCGTAGAGGCTCGAGGCCAGGGGCGGGGTTTCCAGGAACTCAGCCACACTGGGCCCCAGGTGGGAGGGAGGGCTTGTAAGGGGCTTCAGCCAGCAGCCGGCTGGCCCTGCCAGGCTGACATCCTCTTCCAAGACGCCCAGGCAGAGGGGAAGGCGCGTGTGAGGAAGGGAGGGTGGTGGGGCAGGAACTGGGTGACCCAGTGACCCCACCCAGGGCAGACACACCCCCACCTCACTCCCCAAAGGGATGAAGCTTCGGGGCGCCCCTGAGTGGCGAGCTGAAGAGGGTTCTGAATCCATAATATTCTGACTCTACTACTTGGTGACTTTGGAGAAGGTGGCCATGTGGCCTCGCCAGCACGTTAGTCTGTAAAACGGGGACATGAGTCTACCTCCCTGGGCCACAAAGCTGAACAGAGAAGGCACTGCCTGTGTAAGTTGATTCTGCAGGTCAGATGGTAAAGGGGGAGGGAGGGGGAGGGTGGCCCCTTTTCTCAGCGGCAGCGACAGCTCCCACGCGCTTCGGCACCTGCAGCTTGGGAGAACAGTCTCCCTGTTTAATAGCAACTTTGCAAACGCCGTTATCAGTGACTGTGTCTGACCCCCCCCCCCACCCCGCCCCCGTGGGAGCAGCAGGATTCCCATTTAACAGACGGGGAGAAGGAAGAACAAAGGAGCTAAGCGACTAAGTGCCCGAGGGCTCCCAACTGGTAAGTGGTGGTTGGGACACCAAAGTCCCAGAGCCCTGAAGGGCCTGCCCAGGCAGATGGGCACAGAGGCCTCGTCCTTTGAGCCGCTGGAGAGCAGTCCAGGAGCGGGGGCCCAAGCGACAGAGAGAGAAGCCGCCTCAGGGCCCCAGAGCCATGGGCAGCCCTGGGACCCCCCCCAATCCACACCCTCACCGCCCCCTCCTGAAAAAGCCCTCCCCAGAAGTAGAGGCGGACACAAGGTGTGCTACAGGGCTTTTTTAATGTTTCCCCGCTGTTTTAACAATATCATGAGAAAAATATACAGTTTAGAATCTGGAAGTGACCACGGTCTGAATGGGTTTCAAGGGCAGCTGGCAGAGGCTGCACAACCTTCCGATTCCTCCCCCACCGTGGGAGCTCCGCTCGAGGTGCTCGAATCAGGAACTAAGTTAGTGTCTGAGTAAGGATCCAGCAAAAGCTGGCAGCCTGGGGGGGCCCCGCCCACCAGCCCGGGCTGGATCCTGGGCTAGTTAGTTCTGCCTGTCCCTCCCCCGCCATGGCTACAAGCGGACAGGAGGAGGGGCGTCAGCCTGTTCCCAGGACAGAAAAGATCATCATCAGTTAACCCCGGGGGCTCACAGCCCGGCTCCCACTCAGTCCCCTCGGGCAGGGTCACAGGACACACAGGGAAATGTGAATTTCAGAATAACAGCAAATAATTTCTTAGCGTGTAAGTGTGTTTCAACATGGCATGGGGCATACTTACACTAAAAAATTATCCTTTGTATGCCTGAAATTCTAATTTAACCTAGCATTCTGTTTTGCTGCTAAATCTGGCACCCCTGTATGCAGGGGCCCTGGCCCCCGAAGTGGGGAAGGGGGTCAGCTGGCAGAGCTGAGAAGGGAAGGGGAAGTAGTGTTTGTTGGGGGGGAGGGGCGGGGAGGGAATAACCCAGTCAAAAAAGCTTTTATCCCTCCATAGGAATGATATATTATTTTTTAAAAAATCATTTTCCAGAAATTTTCTACACTGGCCGCCTTCAGTTGTTAATAGCCAAGGGGCGGGGGGGGCGGCGACATAGAGATACCCACCCCGTATAGTTCTAAACAAAGTTTGGAAGCGCTTAGTATAAAGGTTTTCTAAAGGGATTGGATTTTCCCTCTGGTGGCAGGCCTACTAACACTGTTCCTGATATTGCTCTAGAAGGATTTAAACATAACAAGAACGAACGAACAGACCCATAGAGACTGAGGGCCGCAGCCTGTTCCTAGTGTCGTCCCGGAAGGGCCCCTTCTTGAAAATTCAAGCAGCCCCGGGGTTTCCTTCCTGTTCTCGTCCCCAGGAAGGGGACGCGTTTAGTGTACAAATTCGGTCCAGCTTTACTCCAAGGGGCTCCAGGCTTCCGGTGCAGGAGCCAGGGACGGTGTAGGGAGGGGCCGGGATGTGTGACCACCCCGGTCCTCCTGCCACGTGCACTTACCCTGGCAAACACCGCCAGTCACAGCAGAAACGCCAGGAGGGAAAAGTGAGCCCCATGTCCTTAGCTCTGGCCCTCAGGCCGTCCCTGGGCTGACCTGCCATTGCTGCACGAGGCAGGAAGTCAGGCTGACCCCTGGCATCCGTCTGAGGCCAGGCAAAACTGATTCCTGCTTCCAGAACAGCCCTGTCGTAGAGAGCTCGGGGAGAGCAAGGCGTGCAATGAAGTCAGGCACCCCGTCGGCACCCAGGCCGGCTCCCGAAGTCCTCCACAGGTGCCCAGGCTTGGCCAATGCCCCTCATCTATGAGGTCCAGGATGTGTGGCCGAAGCCAGGCTCTTGGCTGCCCACGCACAGGGAGAGGAAAGAGGAGGGTGGTGGCGGGCTGGGCACAGGGAGATGAGGCCAAGAGTGTGCAGCCACCATCTCCTGCCCGCCTCACACTCGTATTTCATCCTCCTCCTCCTCGTCCATGAAGGAGAACTCCTTGTCGGGCTGCCTGGCGAGAGGAGCCCGGGCCTTGTCTGGCCCCCGGAAGGCAGGGCTGCGCTCCTCCAGGACACCCGAGGTGCAGCTGGAGAGGGAGCTGCTGTCCCTCGTGGTGTGGCTACCCACGCTGCGGGCCGAGCCGGGGCTAGGGGCCGCCGCCGCCCACCCCTCGTCCTGCAGAGCCTGGGGGGGCAGTGGGGGCAAGTCAGGGCTTGCCTTGCCTTCCTGCCTAATCAGGGGAGGGGCCTCTGCCACGGAAGGGGGGTCCTGGGGGAGACCGCCTGCTGGAGCATCGTCACCATGGAAACCGCCATCGTCCTCCTCTGCTTCCCACTCCTCCTTGTCCATGATGCTGAGGACGTCGCCCAGCATGGAGGGCCCCAGGTCGATGTGGAAGGACATGATGGACTCGGCATGCTTCAGCCCGAAGCTGGCCTTGGGCACGACGGGCAGATCTGTCAGGTCCCCGAAGGCCTGCTCATCGAGGAGGGGGTCAGGGGAGTGGGGGGCAGCAGCCCCGTTCCGCCGGGGCACCACCTCTCCCACGCCCACCTCCTGCTCCTCTCCGCCCTCGCCGGCATTTGCCTTCTTCACGGGGCTAGACGACAGGCTCTTGGGCAGCTTGCTGGAGCCCTTTTCGGCGGCCTCCTTCTCGTTCAGCTGGGGCAGGGACATGGCATTCTTGACAAAGAGGGCCGAGTCCCGCAGGGAGCCCAGCATGTCCCTCTGCTCCCGGTCCCCCCTGGTCACCGACTGTGACCGCTTGCTGCCCCGGAACTTCCGGGACAGGAGGCTGCGTTTGGAGGAGGAGGAGGAGGCCTGGTCATCCAGGGACTCGCCGTCCAGCTCGCCAGCCTTGCTGTTGAGGAACGAGGTGTCCCCAAAGGCGTCCCCCGCCCGGCCCACGTGCATGGTGTGGCGGAAGTCGCCCAGCGGGGCACTGATCATCTCGGCCGTGAGGTCCACTCGGGAGCGGCGTTTGGAGTGCACCGAGCTAGACACCAGCTGCTTGAGGATCGGCATCTTGCCCGATGACGGGAGGGGAGGCTGGCCCTCCCGAGGCAGCAGGCAGGTCTGGGGTCAGATCTGAAGTCCAGCAATTGGAGCGGGTGGTAAGGAGGAGGTCATAGGGCTGCAAGAAGAGAAGAGCAGGCACAGGGTTAACCCGGCCGGCCGCGCACAAAAGCCCATCTGGCCAGGGGTTGTGATTTAAAACCCAGCTCCCAGCAAAACGGAATAATGTGAAATGAGCCAGCAATCAATTGCATGATCCTGCCTATTTCTTCATGCACGGGCTCGAGGTCAGGGGAGTGCTTTCTGCAAATCTGGTTAGAGTTCAAGTAGCCACAGACACTTTCCCTGAAACGTGAGAAAGAGCTGATCTTTCTTCAAATGGACACACAGTCCCTCCAACCCGCCCCACCACCAGCATGCTGCTAGAGAAAACATGACCACTTTGAAGGAGGTGGAGGTACATTTAAGGAGGTGGAGGCGCATAGGCAATTCCATGCACTGGTCTGGGAAAGAAACATGTATGATTTGACTCCTGTGAACAGCTAGTTTGGAGACACTCTATAAGTTCTTCTTGCTGTCTGACCTCAATCCCTATGAAGTTAATGGACACCTCAACCTGAGTCACAGTCCTCAGAGGAGGGAGAGGACAGGATGGGTCCCAGAGAGACGCTGCCTGGCACTTCCATAACCGTGGGCAGCCCGGCTTGCTTTCTGAATCAGAATTGGGGTGGGGCTACTGGGACCCACAGAACCAGCTCCCCAGCCTTCCAGTCCTTGCTGGGAGTCCCATAAATGAGGATCCCGCCTGCGACATCTCCATCGTGGAGCCCTGAGCTCTTTGCTGAGGATCCACCCTCCACCTCTCAGGAGATCAAGCCTAGAAAACTCCTTCCCAATTTCTTTAATCATTAGGTGTGCAGAGAGGCAGGGACTAGACCCTAGATGGCTTAGGCCCCTTGGGATCTGCAGACCCCCCAGGTGATTAACCTGAACCAAAGAACAGCAGAGGGCCGTCTGAAAGCTTGAGGTACCACCCACGCGGCTCCTGGCCAGGGCCAAGTTGAAGTTCTGTGTTGGAGCCAAACCAGCCCCTTGCCCTCAGTACAGGGCTGAGCAGGGTGGGGAGAGATGGGTGCAGGGGTTTAACAGAGTGTGGTGGGTGTGGGCGGTGCTGGGCCACCAGTCCTATGAACAGCACAGGCCTCCAGGGCACCCACCCTCCCCATTGCAAAGCTCAACCTGTGGGCGCCCCACCCAGCTTTCTTCCCATTCCTGGCTGCTGCCCCAAGCTCGGCCCCCACATCCCACCTGGCCCCTGACGGCCCAACAGGTCTCCCCGCTTCCACTTTTGTCCCTCTCCAGTCCATCCTCCACCTTTTAGTTCAAACAAAGCCTTTCCGGGAATCCCCAGTCTAGCTAGACGCCTTGATCCGGCGACCAGTCCCTGCCTCCCTTCCCAACGCCATGGTTCGCTGCTCCGCTGCCCATGCACATTGCCCCAGCCCCCGAGCTTCTGTCTCCTGTACCCCAGGACCAGACACATGCAGTCCCCTTCTGGAACACCCCGTCACCTGGCTCACCCAACATCCTTCAGGGCTCAGCTGAGATGTCACTTCTTATGGGAAACCGTCTTTAGCCGAGGGGAGTCCTCCGGTGACCTCTCCCGCCAACCCCCAGCACTCTGAATGTCCCCTCTCCCAGCAGGCACTGGCTACATCGTTCTTCCCTGCTGGCTGGACTGTAATCTTCCCATTGGACTGAGCTTCCGGAGGGTTCCAAAGGGCCTGATCGCCACTGAATGCCGTCTGGCAGTACATGGCACAGGCTTCCAACACCTGTTGAAAGGCCAACACCTCCCTCCTACCCTCTCCCGGTTCCTTAGTTTCTCCCCTTCCGTCTTCTCAAGCGGAATGACAGCACTGGCTTCATTTCAGCCTATTGCTGGGCTCCAGGGTTCCCAGACTGACCTCTCTGTGCCCTCCAATCCCCAGGTCCCCACGCTCGTGTTCCTTGTCCAGCTGTTGCCACCCAGTCTGGTGGCTCCCCCACCTGCAAGTGACCCCCACCCAGGCAGTCACTCCAGCAAGCAATGTTCTCTGGGATGAGAGGCAGGAGCCAGGCACTGGGGCAGACCTGCCACTCAGGTGACCTGGGCTGGGCTTGGAGCCAGGTGAGGACTCTTCTGGAAGGCCTGGAGATGCCCCATTACAATCGGTCAGCTCTCCGTCCCCACTCTCCTCCTTCTCCCCACCAAAATCTTGGGAAAATTAGCTTCCCCTACCCCTAACCTGAACCCTCCCTCCTGCCCACGCCCTAGGATCTAACCTCTAAACAATTAGACATGGAACGGCTAGACCAGAGATTGGCAAACATTTTCTATAAAGGGCCAGAGACTAAAGATTTCCAGCTTTGTGACTGATTCCGTCTTTGTCGCAGCTACTCAATTGTTTTCATAGTAGGAAAGTAGCAGTAGGCTGTAGGTCAACAAATGGGCATGGCTGTGTCCCAATAAAACTTTATTTATAAAGACAAGTAGTGGGCAGGCTCTGGCCTGTGGGCCATAGTTTGCTGCCCATCAAACTAGATGCATGAAAAGTACTGGCCTCAGGGTCATCCCCTCTCCACTGCTCCAGGAAAGAGTCACCATTTGTAACCCTCTGGGCCAGCCATGGGCTTCCAGGCCAAACTTTGGGGAAAATTCTCTTTGGCTAAAAAAGAGAAAGTGAGGATGGAGTCGGCTTCAGACATGTTAGGCACAAAAGGAAATCAAAACAGGTTCCAACAAACTCTCGGTGCTGGAGAATCCCTCAGGCTTCTACGGCCCCCAGGGCAGGGAGGCAAGAATGGAAAGGGCCACATCTTCAACCCGCCTGCAGTGCAGCTCCTGGTCCAGTCACAGAATCCCGGGGTCTCAACGAGCTGGGAGGGAAGGGGACCCCAGTGCAGCTCCAGAAGACAGGTTTAACTGAAGCCCAGTGATTTCTCCAGGCTCACGTCCCAAAGGGCGGAGCGGGGCTAGAAGCTGGTCTCCTGGCCCAGTGCTCTTTCTGCTCCTCTCCAGGCCTTTCTCTGGCCTTTGGTGGGTAGCATCAATGGTCAGTTACCCTTGCCAATGGAATGCCTCTCCCCACTTCTAGCCAGGGGAGTGCAGAGAAAGGAGGAGCCTGGCTGCTGCCTCGAGAAAGTTCTGTATAATCCCAGAGCAGATTCTGACCCTGCTGACACTTTGGGCCAGACCATTCTTTGTTGTGGGGCCCATCCTGCGCACTGTAGGCTGTTTGCAGCATTTTCCCTGGTCTCTGCCCACTAGATGCCAGTAGCATCCCTAACCAAGTTGCGATAACCCAAATGTTTCCGGACATGCCAGATGTCCCCTGGGGGGCAAAAGTGCCCAGGATTGAGACCCACTACCCTGGAGTGAGAACACACATGTACAAATAAAGCATGTACTGTTCACCAGGGAAAAGAAGGAAGGAAGGAGGGAGGGGGGCAGAGAGGGGACGTCAACGGTCAGAACTGTGGGAACACAGGACATGAACCTCCAGAGTTGCATAAGGGTTTCACTGGCACGGCAGGAACTCCCAGGCCCAGGAAGCAATTTCCAGCGTGGTGGTTTCCCCGATCTCAAGTGCTCACTAGAGAGAAAAGGGAAACTGCAGGCCCAGCTGCCCGGGACTCAGCAGAGAGGGTGCAGACCCCTCTGGCCACCATGGCTACAGGGGAAGAGAGTCCCCACCATCCCATTCACCCCCCTTCTAGCACATTCCTGCAGGTAGGGCTAGAGAACAGGTAAGAGGGGCCAGCAGGGAAACGCCTGGGGCAGCCACGAGATTCCCAGCATCCTGCACGGCCCTACATCCCAGAAAGAGAGCGACAAGGCTGGCAAATGGTTATGTGCTGCCTGGGGTCTTGCTCCCTGGGGGTAGGAACAAGGCTTTGTGACTTGTGAAAAACCAAACCATCTTCAATATCCAGCATGAAAAAGTCCCAAGAGTTGAGTCCCACATGGAGTCACCTACTTGTCCCACTGTCCAGGGAGGAGGGGCTGCAGGACCTGGCAGTCCTGGGGTGGGGGTGAGGACCCCTCTGGGGTCCCAGAGCCAGAACTCAGACTGGACAGCCTGGGCTCGAGGGCTGGGAAAGTTCCCTCCCTGGCTTGTTTTTAAGTCCTTGGTTTCATGGCTACTGAGTGACATTGTCACCCTAAGCTCCTAACAGAGAATGATTTGGGGATGAGGGGATGGAGTTTAAGTACAAGCAGGTGGCCCAGGCCAGTCCTGGGGGCAGTTCAGGAGGCCTGAGTGCACCCTCGGAAGGGGACGGTGCCAAATGGAGCTGTGGCTTTCGGGGGTGTTGCTAAGCACCGTGACTCAGCTCTGGGGAAGTGGCTAAAACAGGCTGCCTGATGACAGGGCAAGAGGGCGGCCACTCCCCACGGCCTGCCCTGGGTGGAACACCCTCCCCCACCCCGGAAGCCACATCCCACTTTCCTGGCAGAGCAAAGGAAAATGGAGCAGCAACTCACAGCCTCCCTGACTCTCCTCAGCCTCTGGTGGAACCAGGTTCCTCCACCCTTGGCCTCACTGACCACAGCACGTTCCTCTAAGGCAGGAGCAACAAGCCCTCCCTGGAAGGCCAGGCCCCTGGTCAGTTACAGCAACCACATCCTCGGCTCAGCTCTGCTCCTGGCACTATAGAGGGTAGCTGTGGCCTGGACCCCTCCCTCATCATCCCGGGCATGCTACACAGAGAGCACTACCCTCCCAGATCAGGAGCCCAGCAGCTCCTAGACAGACAGAAGGACAGGCTACACTGAGGCACAGGACACAGGCCTGAGCTCTCTTGGGCAGCCAGGCAGATCTCCCACTTGGCAGCTGACCCGCAGCTCACTCCAGTGCAGAGAGCACATGAGATCAATGCCCAGTGCCACTGCACGGCTGCCCCTCCATCATTTCCCAGAAGTGTTCTAACCATCCAGTCAATACCAGCCCCAACGTAGCTGGATGGAAGGGAGCATTCGGTTCACGACACGATGACTTCAGTTGTGGCTTGGCCTGGCTACAAGAGGCTTCACTCATTTACTTTTTCTCTCATTCATTCATTCATTCATTGACTTAC